ATAAAAACACATTCCTGAGCATGTGTCTTTAGAAAAGGAGAGCTTCCTGTCTGCACCTGTGCACTTCATAGCCAGGATGCCCTCTGCTCTCAGGCTGCTGAACAGTCTCCTTGGCCCAGTGCTTGGGGGAATCCCAGGTGCCTTATTAAATGGTTTGAATGTCTCACGCCCTCTGAATCAGCACCTTAAGGTGCCTTCAGAAAGCTTGTGATGGTTAAAAATGCTACTTTGGTTAGCAAGAAGGTTCTTGTCTTTCATGCTGGTTACCTGGCATTTCCTCTCTTGTGCATTGTTTTTTTCTCATCCCTGCCGGTCCAGTTCCAGCTCACATTTTTTTGTGCTCTTGACTAAATCCCCTTGTAGCCACTGCTGGTTTTGCTGCTCTGTTTTTTTCCCAGCCTTGATGTCTTTCCCACCTGCACATGGGTTTGTAGGACAATCAGCTCACCCTTAAAAAGGAGAGTTCACAGCATGTTTCAGTGGGTCCTGCTCAAGTATCCCAGACAGAGAGCTCAAACGCCTGTACTGGGGGTGCCCTTCTGACTGCGCTCCTTGTGCTGGCAGGTTCCAGAAGAACAAGGCCTGTCCTGAGGGAGAGGAGTGTCGCTATGCCCATGGGCAGGACGAGCTGACGGAGTGGCTGGACCGGAGGGAAGTGCTGAAACAGAAACTGGCCAAAGCTCGCAAGGACATGCTGCTCTGCCCCAGGGATGACGACTTCGGGAAATACAACTTCCTATTGCGGGATGATGTATAGTGTGAGCCGGGGGGAGTCTGTCAGCTGCAGAAACACAGGGTGGGTTTTCTGAGGGGCAGTAGCAGGGAGAGCGAGATCTGTGTCTCGCAATGAGAACTTTTTCTTTTCTTTTGTTTTAAGATTTTGAGACAATGATTTATTAGTGAATGAATTTGTGAATTTAATTCTCATTGGCCAGCGACGCCATGCTCATTGAGTTTGTGATCCATCTTTTCTCTCTTCTTTCCCCCAAATTCGCGTTCCACTTCATCTTTTTGTTTTCACTGTCCTTCATTCAAAGGAATTAATTCAGTCTGTATTGGGCTGCAAATCAGAGAATTTCTCCTTGTGTCATTCTTCTGTCTTTCAATTCAGAGTATGACTGCAGAGGTCTGGAGGACAAACCCGAGAGAGGGGGACAGAAAAGTTGTGGATGCCCCATCCCTGGAACTGTTCAAGGCCAGGTTGGATAGAGCTCTGAGCAATGTGGTCTAGTGGAAGAGGTGTCCTTCTGAATGACAGGGGGATTGAAACTAGATGATCTTAAGGTCCCTTCCAGCCCAGACTGTTCTATGATTTTATGAAATCTGGTTAAAAGGAGGTGACCATGAATTTCATATGTTCCTTTTCTCAGTGCTGCAGACTAAGCGCCACTTACTCTGCTGCAGCCCTCCTGCTCTTCTGGGAGTTTGGTATCAAAAGAAATAGAAATTGTGGTGCAAAGAAGGAAGACCACTAGATTTGGTTTAAGAGATCTAGGTTTATGCTCTAGCTGTCTGTATTGCACTGAGGCATCAACTGGTGCTGAGGAGGATAACAGCTGTGTGGTATAAGGAGTGCAAGGTAAAAGCAGCAAAGTAATGAAACTGCTTGCAGCAGCGGGAACCGGGTTGTAGGTGACTTCAAACTTCAGCTGACTGTACTCAGAAAGCAAGTTGGTGACTTCTCATTAGATGTCTTTTTCAGTGTGTGGCAGGTATTCAGGGCAGATAGCTTGGGTTTGTTTTTTTTGGCTGGTGTGACTGGTGCAAGTAAAACAGAACCCATGTAGGAGGTGTAGTGGAGTCTGTGACACACTGTGTGTCACTGAAGTCCACACAGCAGTATCAGTCAGAAGGGAGGTGGTCACCAAAAGGAGCCTGTGTTTCTGTGTTGCCTTGTGTCCTGAAGAAAGGGAGGGAGGGAGGTACTGGTGTTCTTTCTTACTCTTTAAATGGCATGTGTTTCTGGTTACTTAGAGCTGCATTTTTCCCTGCACTGCCAGAAGAACTGGGTGGGGACCCATTTAAAAGGACACCATTGCACAGCACAGGCAAAGTTAAGCTAATGGGAATCCAGCTGGAAGCGCTTACCAGTACCAGAGATCCAGCTCCCTCCTCCTCAGAGCCAGAGCAGGGAGCTTGTGGATGCACAGTGCAACCAGGATGTGACCCAGAGCAGGGACAGTGGTGGAGAATGAGTGGGACCCAGCCATGGCCTGCTCTTGTGCTGCCTGATGTGTGCTCTGATGAGGTAATCAGTAATGCTGAACTCTGGGACAGAAGCTTTGCTTTTATAAGAGGCAGCAGTGAGAAGCAGTACTGCTCTGCATGCCAGCCTTGTCCTTTCTGGCAGTCTCATCCTGTAAGCTGTAAATGTGTTCCCTGTTCTGAGCTTCCCTCACCTTCTCTCTTCTGCAGTCCAGCTGTGCTCTGCAGTTTTGCATGCATGGATGGCACCATCCAGTCAAACACAAACACATCTCTCTCCCAGCCTTCATCAGGGATGTCTTTTTCATACAGATTCTCCTGGGACAGCAGTCTCAGAGCCCTTAGGGCTGGTAGGGCTGTATCCATGGTAAATACAATCTGGCCATGAACTGCTTGGTGTTTTGGCATTGCTGCGTCCTCCCATTCCTCTCTGCTCCCACATCCTTGGGGTTCAGAGCTTCAGGAGAGATGGGATGAGGAAATCGGGAGATGGGGAGATGGTGTGGGGCAGCTTCCTAAACCAGCCTTCAGGAGGGTGCTTCAGCTCCACTGGGATAGTTAGGGTCCAGTTATGGAGCAGAGTGCTGGAATCTCTCCAGAGACACAATGTGCTCTAAGCAAACTGAATGCACTTCTGCACTTAGAATCATTTAGTTGAAAAAGACCTCGAAGATCATCAAGTCCTGGCACTGCCAAGTCCCAGACTAAACCATGTCCCAAAGTGCCACATCTACATATATTTTTAAATACCTCTGGGGATGGGAATTCAGCCTCTTTCCTGGGCAACTTAACTACTTTTCTGCTGAGTTTTTTTTCCTCTCCCTTAAAATATGGATGGTAGTCTCTGGTTTGCTATGACCAATATCAGACATGGCAGTTTTTGAGTGGTCAGGTGCTGTATTTTCTCCTCTGTTCTTCATGGTAGCTATGGTACCTTCTCCTGGTCATCCTTGTGCTCAAGTGGTCAACTTTAGAGATGGGAGGAGACAGGCATCAGCTCCTGGGTTATCTTGTTCTGCTCTTCTTGGGCAGAGATGCCAAGGAAGGAAATCTGGATTGGGGGACACTGGAATGTGGCTTTTATTTTTAAAACAAACCTGCATCTCTAGTGTGACTCTGGCATTCGCTGAGCCATGATTTCTCATGTAACCTAAACAAGTTACAGAGTGGGTCACTCTCCCTTCTCCCCATCTCTGCAATGAGAGCTGAGCTGCTCAGTGGGGCTTCAGAGGTTCAGGCTGGGGCTGAGATGGGGAGAGGGTGGGGTGAGAGTGAGGTGAGGTGAGGTAGGCCCACAGTCATGGGGGTTGCATCAAGTGTCTCTTTGTTTTCCCTGATATGATAACCTGGTCTGTGGTGTTGCAGTACTTCGTCACCAGACTTGTTTTAGTGTGTATATATGTGACCCTTCCCATGAAGCATATATACACAGGTATTAAATATATCGCTCTATATAATATTATATGTGTGTGGTATCGAAGGAATCTTTTAAATGAGGGTAAAGGAAAAGGACTCAAGCCAGGAAACGCAGCATCTCCAGTTTAATTATGAAGCCTTTTATTTGGGATAGGGAAAGGGAAATAACAAAAGAGGGGAGGGTTTTATATAGGTAGGTATAAGCTTTGAGATGGGACAGGTTTCCCTGTTCACATTTTTGAAACCCTTTAGGATGTCCTTGCAGTCCCATCTCAGTGAGAGAGTATTATACTGCTAACTAGTGAGTAAAGTTTTAATATAAGGCTTTGCTTATATTATTTAAAGGGACATTGTGAAAGGCAGGAAGTTTCACACTTGACTTCCCAGGCTTGCTTTTTCAAGCCAAGAGGGTTTTCTTCAGCACGTTATATGCTCTCAGCAGAAATGCTCAGTGCTCTAAGCTCTACAGCAGATAAACCTCAAGCTGTAGAGGCTGCTTTAGGGGTGTGTTCACAAGACCCTGTGATAACTCTCTCTTCTTTATTTGTGTGAGAGAGGAAGAAGAAAATTCTGCAGCACAGAACCAAATTTGAGAGTTTTTAACAAAGGAAGTGATGTTTTAATTTTATAACATTAGAAGGAAATCTCATATCCTGTAAAATAACTACAGACATTCACACAGAGCAGAAACTTAATAAATGCTGAAGGACTTAGTGAAAATCTTTTCCCAACTTCTTTGGTAGGGGCAGGGATTTAGGTGACACTGGAATTGGAGTTAACCAGGCCTTTACAGGGAGAAGTAAAAAAAAACCAAACCAACAACCAACAAAAAATACCCTACTTAGCTTGTATGAAACTGTATGTCAAAAATTGTTGGGTTTTAGCAAGTGAAAGGAAAAGATAGCAAGGGGATGCTGCAGTTCTGAGCTGGGTAGTAATGATTTTGAGTCCTTTAATATGTCTTCATATTAATATAAGAATACCACGCTTTACTATTAAAAAAGAACTTAGTATCTTTCATAAGGTCTAGTATAAGGATAAATATGTAGATGTTTTAACAACATTTTTGTTTTTGTTCTTAAATAAAGAAAGAAAAACCAAACTTGCTTCTTTTAGCCTTTGTAATAGAAAATAAAAGTGTGCACTTTAAACCCTCTCCTGATCCAGAGTGTGTTTGTGTTTTTCAAACAGCCTGCAAAGGATTTTATCTTGCTTTCGGGTTTCCCTGCTGTGAGGAGGGAAGCAAAGGGAGCACGTCAAGCATTGGACCACTGTGGCTTTCTCCCATCTTTAAGTATAATCTGCTACTCTTCTTGCTGAGTGGAAAATTGCCTATGTGCATATTAACAGTTGATGCAGTTCTTCATCAGACATGCAGTTCTTCATCAGACATGCAGTTCTTCATCAGACATACAGTTCTTGTGAACTTTAGGTTCACTAGATTTAAAATATTTTTCTTTCCCCCTAGTGCCAAGAATCCATGTGCTCTGCATTAACACATAGTTTCAGGTGTTTGGGTAACCTGTGTTTTGAAACCTCCAGTTAGCGGGTAAACACCTTCATCTAGAGAGTCTTCTGTGTAGGCTGCTCTGTTCAACTGGGTTGGCCAGTTCTTTTGCCTGGCAGTGTGCACCCTGCTAGGGAACATGTCCTTAGCCCTACTCACCAAGTTGCACACAGCTTGGGCCATGGGAAGCATCCGTGCCCTTACTTTCCTCCCAGAGAGGATGCTGTGTGAGGAAACTGCATTAGGGGAAGAGGTCACTGTGAAAACATTTATTAATAAACCCAGCTTCTTTATTTTTTGAATCCATCACGATGCAGATTAATCTAGATTCTTGATAAAATCAAAACTGGAGATGTGAAGACACTGACAGGGGTCCCATGGATATGCCCTGTTAAGGCTGTATAAACTGGTAGTGACCAGAAGGTCATATCCAGTGAGGCCTGAAGAGACAAGATTTGTCACATTTCTCCTTGATGTGCCTTCATGCAGACATAAGCACTCATGTCCTTCTGGCCAAAGAAGAGGCCTGAACACATTCTTGTAGTGAGGGGGGAACAAGGAGCCATGTGCACTTCCAAGGTGCATCAATTGAATACATACAATGTAAGAGACATTAGTTTTACATTCCAAAGATTGTGGAGGCCATGCTGGTGAGAGTTGAGGGTAGCTTTTCCAGTACAATTGAAATCAAAATTGTCAAATTGTGAGAAAGACAAAGCATCAGGAGAAGAACACCTGTTTTCCTTGTGGGTTTGAGCCTCAGCTGTAAACTGGTGTTTTTTCACTGAAATAAACTTGTATTTTGGAGAGGAAGAAAAGGAGTGGTGATTTCAGTAATCAGATCTTCCTAGGAACTTCATCAGATACAAAGACAAGGCAGAGAGACCCAGGTCCGCCAGGAAAAATCCAGGTTCTGTGGAAGATTGAGAGGAGCAGGGTAGAAACCCCTGAGAGGTGGGAGGAAGGCTTCTCATTGAAGATGGTTAATGCCATCACACAGCAGCCTGGCAGAAGGGGTTTGCTGCAGATGAGAATCCTAAGCAATCCTGTAATGGAGTCTGCCTACTACACTATAGAGAAACATTTCTGGGCAGTGACAGCAGATGATGCAAATGCTGTGATCCCCTTCATTGTGTTTGCTGCTGCCATTGCCACCAGGAACAGGGTCATGTTGTGTAGTGTCCTGTGCACAGTGAGCAGCAGAGAGTTCCTGACATGCATGAGTTGGGGAGGTGTATTGGTCACTGGCTGGGTACAGAGGATGTAACTATGTAGGGCAGCTGGGGGGAAAAACATGGGCCAGAAAGCAACAAGTAAATAGTCAAAGAGGCCTGGCTGGGAGTGACTAGTTGGAGGGAAGTAGAGGAGGAAAGGCTGTGGGCACGCTGGCTGAAGCCCACAGCTGTTTGATATGTGGTGGAGGAGGGCACTGAACAGACTTGGTTGGGTACTATGGGATGGCTCTGGGCAGAGGTCCTGTGGACACACAGCTGTTGGGGCTTCCTGGAAAGCTGCGGGCTCTGGTCAGGAGCTGACCATTCAGCCTCACCCTTTTCTCCCCAGGATGGGAGTGGACAGGACAGGACCTGTCCATTCCACATAACTTCTCTCCCTCACAGATTGATTGTCACCTCTTATTTCTTTGTGGTTCTTCCTCCAGGCAAAAGCAGTGTGTCCTGGTGCCTCTGGGACAGGAGTGGTGTTTCCTGAAAACAGCTCTAGGTGCAGCAAAAACAAGAGCAGGGACCAGACCAGATGACAGCTCCAGCTGACTCATTTCCCACCACAACAGTCCTGTCCCTGGCAGCTCCCAAGATTGCCTCTTTCAGGAATGCTCGTATCTGCAGTTTATCTTGTGGATGGCAGTGCCCCAGAAAACTACTACTTGTTCCAGAGAGCCTTAGGAGGCACAAACATAGCAGAGACCCCATAAATAGGGTCATTCATAACCATCTGAATTAATCCTCCAAAATATTACATTTACCCAGGGGTGGGATAGAAGTCTCTAAAGCTAGATGCCAGAGTAGATTTGACTTGGAAAAACACTCGGCTCTGGAGGTGCTCTTTGGCATATTTCCTTTGTTCTCAGTGGATTTCCTACATCTTCCTTAGCTGTGGGCTTCCAATAGCGCTGCAGCCCTCCAGGCAGGTGGCTGGGAAGGATGAAGGGCTGCATAGTTTTGCTAATTGAATACCAAGGCACATGCCCCCATCTGTACCCCAGCAAAGCTCTGAGACAGAGAGGGAAAGTCCCGCTTCCATGGGACTAAGATGGCCTCAGTTTGCCTCAGCAAAATTGCTTGAGAATAACTGCAACACAGCTGGGCATTGCCCCTGGGAGCTGTGGTGGGGATTCAATACAGCAGCAGTGTTTCAAAAGAAGCTCTAGGCAGCCTGGAGCTTCTCCTGTTTGAGACCATTCATGTCTTGGTTTTGGGGTATCAGTGGCAGCCAAACTGTCAAAGCCTTTTTAAGGGTCATTGTTTTCTTTCAGCCCACACACCTTCCCCAGACTCAGCTGACTCCTGTATCTTTCTGTCAAGCTCAGACCTCTTGTGCTACAATGCTACAGGATCCCTGCTCTTGCTGGGGACCATGTTGTCCTTAGCAGATGTGAGTAGGAAGAGATGACTGACAGACAGCCTAGGTCCTTACAGACAGCCTTGGTTTTGAGAGAGAAGCAGCCACAGGAATGTGTGTCTTGCTGTCTCACCCAATGATCTCCCATGGCCCAACATCACAGACCTTGGATTTCCCTATCCTGATTTCAACCCCTTGGTTTATTGCTGCTCTTGGGACCTCCTGGGCTCTGCCTCCTGCCAAGGCTTGTTCCAAGAGCTCCCAAAACTGTCTCTGTCCAGGCTGCCAGAGTGTTTTCGGAGCAGGGGAAATGCAAAAAGGCAGCTCTAGGTGTCCTTCCTGCCCAGGACAGTAAAACTTCTGGTGATCCCAAGGCCCTTTCTCACATTTTCTCCCTGCCTAGCACCTAGTCCTCTGGCTAATGGCACCTCACAAGGGAAGGCCACGTGCAGAGAAGCAGAGCTGTAGTGAGTCCAGCTGCCATGTGAGCACCCCAAGAAGGGGGAGAAGTCTTGGCGGGAGTGGTGGGGAAGCAAAGCTCATTAACTTTTTGGCACTCGTTTTGAGGAATTAGTTTTTAGAAATTCTATTGCCTCAGGCAGGAGGTGCGGGCACTTCCTTCCACTGAAGTTCACTGCTTGCCTGGGAGATCCCAGCGCTGCTCCTCCACACAGGGAGGCAGGCAGGCACATTTGTACACACACATAGGCACATGTATGCATGCCATACCCTGCTGGGGAACGAAGCCCTTTTAGAGGTGGGAAGGGAGCTCTGAGGAGTGAGGCGTCTGTGTCACATGTTGCTACCATCAAAAGTACCCAAAGGCTTGCATGCCCATGTTGCAGGCACCAGGCAGGGTCTTTAGCCAATACAGAGCCCTGGTCCCACTTTTCCCTCAGCTGTACACCCTCCCATGCTGGCTTCATTACTCCTTCTCTCACCTCCTTTTCTTCAAACTCATCCGCTGTGGACGCTGACACCCCTGTGGTCTGGCCACAGCCTTCCCTGCTGCTGCTGTTCTGGGTATTCCTGCAGCTCCATGGATGTTTGTTGGCACTAGCATAATCTCAACAAAGAAGAAGACAAGTTTCTGGGATATGGTGCAAGTGTCCTTTCAGAATGGTCATGGTGAAACTCAGTTTGCAGGCCTCTGCCAAGGTGAGAAAAATTCCCTACCAAGCCCAATGTACGACACAAATAAAGAGTTAAGTCTGGAAGCTGTAAGGGGAATGTACAATTGTCCTAGGAACTAGCACAAGAACAAAAAATTGTACAGATGTCTGTAAAGAAGCAGTGATTAACCTCTGGCAAAGGGTTTGCTTGGATAAAAGAAAGAGGAAACCACTTACCAAGCTGGGTTTGGTGCAAGAATCAAACCCTGTGGGTGGGCCTGGAGCCTCCACAGAGACTTTGAGCAGTAGGCTTGATTTGTGGGATGTGCAGCAGAAGACATCTCATGTGCGGAGGAACGGAAATTTCCAAGTAATGGCTACGCTGGCAATGTGAATGGTCTTGGGTGACTGAAAGAAATGGAGAAAAAAAAAGAGAAAATAGTCTTACTTCAAGAACAGCAGAATTTGCAAATCTTCTAGAGGTTTCTAAACATTTTTATCCTTTTTTCCAGATTCACTTCAGGGGAATGTCATCTTGTATGCCACCATGAAGTCCCTTCGGTACTGCTGGCTCCTGCCTGTCCCTTGTCACTGCCAATGGGCCCCAGATCATACAGAACACATAACAGCAGGTTTTATCTCTGGGGAGGCATTAATTTGACTCTCCTCTTCCTAGATTAGCTTTCAAACAGAATAAGATATTTAAATGTATTTATCCCTTTGCCAAGGTGGGGTAGCATGCTTGGGGATGGATGGATGGATGGATGGATGGATGGATGGATGGATGGATGGATGGATGGATGGATGGATGGATAATACTGTTGTATAAGCTTTGTGTCCTTAGAAAATAAGCCAAAAAGTTTTTATTTTCTAAGAGGACACATTCCATTAGATGACCAAGGGAAACTTTCACCTTATTGGAGGAAGCTGAGATAAAAGCAATTAGTAATAATAACCACTACTTCCTTTCTTTGGTCAAATGTCATTGCTGCTGCTGGGTTCCCCATCAGCTGTGCTTTCAGACACACCTGAGAAACAATTAAATTCCCTTTTGCAGTGGTAGCTTCATAAATCAATGAGCAGCCGAAGAGAAGACCCACAGCAATAATCTGCAGGAGTTTCTGACTGGGGAGGCACACAAGTGGCTCTTGTTTTTGGGTCTGAGGGAGGCTGCAAGACACTGGCAGGAGCAGAAACAGGGGAAGGGCTGCTCCAGAAGCACTGTGAAAGTGGCCCTGTGGAGGAGTTGAGGGAATACTCCTGAGGCTGAGGGAAAGATGGCAACTTGGACCCATGCACAGAGAACCCCCATACCCAGCTCCTTATAATGAGCAGAGTTGTATCAGAGGTTTGAATGTCTGAAAAGATTCTTCAGGGTCTCAAACTGCCAGCAAGGCTGTACCTATGAGTGACTCCTCAGCAGTGTTGCTCTACAGTTCTCTTTGGGCCCAATGGCACACCTCTCTAGAGAGGTCCTGTGAGACACAGGAGTAGAATTAGAGGTTTTAAAAGAGACATTTACATGCTTTGGTGCCAGCAGAAGAACCTGAACACTGCAGGAAGGCAAAGAGGTCAGAGGAAGGAAGGTAGAAGAATTGGTTGCTTAAAAAAAAAAAGAGCAATTCTTTCAAATAAAAATGTAAAAGGAGGGAGAGTATGGACCAAGGCAAATGTTGAAGGACCCACAATCCTCCCCTCAGGACTGCTGAACACTCCTTGGGCAAATGTGCTGAGAGGTTCAGCCAGCACAGCTGGGTGTGTGGGTAGATGCCCAAGAGACCTGCAGAAAGTACAGTGAAGTCAGCCCTGGTCTCTGCCAGTTAAATTGGTGTTCCTGGAGTTTGGCCTTTGCCATCACATTAGGTGCCTCCTTTTGTGTGCCATCCACTCAGGGACAGTATAAGTTGACTATGGCTGGTTGAGTCTGTGAGAAAAGTGCTGTTAAGGGCTGACTGGGCTTCTGAGTGATGGCTGGAGCAGAGCTGCTGGCAACTCCACTAAAATGGGATCACAAAACCAGTAAAAACATATCTGATCTGACAACAGTGCAGCCAGAACAAGTGATGCAATCTGTGGCCATGCCTGCATCTTTCCAGAGACAGTATTTCAACTTCATTCACTAAAGCAGCTCAAATGCTCTGCTCTCCATGGCAGGGACATGGGGGCAGACAGACATTCCCTACTGCTATGACTCTACTCCATATGTACTACTACTACAAAATGTACTACTCCATAGTACATTTTCTGATTTCCTGGGGCTTGAAGACAGGGTGGTTCCAGCTAGTGATGTTACCCAAGCTCTTCTGGTGGGCAGGAGCTCACTGTTCTGGGATTCTGAATCAAGAGGGACATACAGTATTGGTAGGAGACTTTGTGGACATGGCAAACACCAGATGAGATGTTTATTTTGTCACTCTCAGATCTCTAGACAAAAATTAGAGATGTTCATTGCAGGCTAATAATTCAAACTGCTAAGAGACAATTTAGATGATCTTTAAGGTACTTTCCAACCCAAACCATTTCATGATTCTATGAATTTTCTCTGAATTAATGTCTTCATTTTCTGAAGCCATAAATGCCAGTCAGTTGCTGCAGCAGTGGCTGTGAAGTTCTTGGGTCCCTCCAGACATGTGGTCAGGTATTTGTTCAGCTTTCATAACAAGTTTGAGCCTGAGACAAAATCAGGGGGTCCAGCTGCACCTGGCACTGGACAGCTACCATGTTCCCAGTGACTTTCCCATGCCAGCCTGTGATAAGAAGCAATACTAGGCATAATGTGACAGTAGCTGTCCCAAACATCAGTGATGCCTGGCATGACTGAATGGACTGGAAGATTTCAGGAAAGGACATGGATCTCCTGGCTGGCAGGCTGTGCTCCAGGAAGGAGAGATGTGATCAAGTCTCTTGCTCACAGGAGCCAGAATGCACTGACCATCTGCAGACTCTGCTGGCTCCAGCTTTGGGTGGGTGGAGAACACTGTAACAGCCCAGGTTAGTATGGTACTGTTCTCCCTGAATGGCTTCAACACTGATGGTTATGACTGGCTCAAAATCTGAAGGGGTTGTATCATAATTACAAATTCTACTAAACTAACTACTGTTAGTTGATTTCTGTTAGTTATTGATTTCTTAGCCTGATTAGATTGGGATCTAGATCACGAGTCTTCTCCAGCTAAACTCAAATTCTCAACTACCCAACCTGGCTAGATAATTCCTTCCTTTTGGTTTCTACTGGGTTAAATCAAATGCATTTCCTTATGAAACCAAACACTATGCCTGATTTTGCTGGGCTGTGTCCAATTGCTGTGGCTCACAGACCTGTAGGAATACCTGGTTTCTACCAACTCACACTGGCACTCTAAGGCTGAGCCTGGCAAAATGGACAGGAACAAACTGCGAAATAAAGGCACTTCTGTTGAAATACCACACTCAGCAAAAGAAAAGACCACAGCACATGTAAGATGCTTCTTCTCACACCAGGTTCTGAAAAAGAGGATCAGACCTTTATCCTCCTGCCTCCAGTCCTTTTCTCCACGCTAAAAATTTCACTGACAGGAGAAGAGGGGCTTTGTGTGCTCAAGATCTTACTTAACCAGCTGTTACCAGGGTATTTGCAGGGTTCATGAACTCTCTTCCTGTATAGCAGTGCTCTAAGAGGAGGCTGTTTGTTTCCTGATAAAATTCTGTGGCACTTCAGAAGAAAAATCCTATCTTTTGGGGATGATGCACACTTTATAAGAAAGAAACCTTGTGCTATTATCAATATTAACTTAGGAGGGACACGCAGTAATTGTTGCATCACATACAAATAATGTCACTATCTTTATCTCAGCTAAAAAGTTAGCAGGCAGATGCAGACAGCATGTGTATCTCCCTGTAACAGCCTGCACAGCTTGGAGCTCCTCAGAGCCTCGCAAGAACGTGCCAGAGGATCCCTCTCCTGTTGTGTTTGCAGCCAACATGTACCCCTAACAGCACACACTTGCTTTTTTTCCCCTTCAGACACATGTATTTGTTATAACACCTTGGGAAGGAAAAGGGTGCTGCCTTTGCAAAGTTAGATAACTGGCCCAGTTCTTTGCTGCCGGATTGGCTGGGAGAGGCCCTGTAAAACCACGCTGGCCAGGCGCCCAGCCCAGCCCTGCAAGGCTGCAAGCTATTTCCACAATTGGCCACTTCAGAGTGGGAGAGGGGGAGGTGAAGACAGCCAGGCAAGCTGCATCTCTGCCAGGCTGCTTCCCATTCTCCTTGTTTTTTCTGAGCCAGAGCAGTTCGGCACACCCGCTCCGGGTGCCTCCGAGCCCATCTCGCAACGCCCAGGATAGTGGGGTCTGAGGTTGGTGGCCAGGCACCTGGCCCTCCCTTAGCTCTGCTGGCACAGTCCCAGGACAGGACATGTCAAGCTGCAACACCCCTGGGGGCCCCACTGCCCTGGACTTTCCGGAAGTCCTGAAGTCCCTACTGGAGTATTCCTTGCCCTGGACCAACAAGATGACAGGTAGGATTGAGGAAATATGTACTGGGGGTTCTGTTTTGATTTCTCCATCCCCTCCTTCAGTTGCAAGGTGAGAAAGGGGCAGATGTTGTTTGCTGCAAGCCCTGCCAGGGTGTGTTTCCTCAAAGTGTCCAAGTCAGACAGGGAGTCCTGGCACTGTGCGTGTTGTGCAGCTAGGAGGAAAAACGGAGGCAATGGATGGATTATAAAATCATGCTGAGCTCCTGATCCTTTTAATCTCTGTGCTCAGCTACTTCTTGGAAACCCTCAAAGATTCATGCACAGAAAAGGCTTGGGCACTAATGTTCATGCTCCTATAGAAGCAACTTCCAGGATTGCCATTCGTTGTTGTCCTATGGTTAATAACCACTAAGTCTCCAGACATTGCCTTTTCCCAGACTCAGACTGTCCAGAGAGCCCAGCCTGCATGGGGCAGGCTGACTGTGCAAACTTTGTTTAATTGTTTATCAGTGAAAAGCTGGGATAGAGAACATAGCAAATGCTGCATTTTCTTTGCAGGAGTACTTCTGTACTCCTAGGCTTTCTTACTCTCTGTGCAGCATCCTAGAAAACAAATGAGAAGAACCCAGGAGGTTAATTAGTTTGGGCTTTCACTATGCTGAACACTTTGCTCATGCTGCACTTATGGCTTTGCTAATGCTGGGTCTGCTCCAAGCACCCATCACAGTCTGAGTACTCTCTGGTTTTGGATAGGATGCTACAGACCCTTGACAAGCCACTTTTTGGTTGCTGTGTTTTAATGTTTGCTGCACAATGCTGGGGAGGTGTATGGGAACACCTCAGCACAACAAGCCTATGTCTGGGCATGAGAGAGTTGAGCTCACAGAAACAAACATGCACAGAGCTTGCTCTTCTCTAGGAAGTTGCTACCAGGACATCCAGGCAGCTCTGCAGTGTTGAGGGGCAGCAGAACCCAGGAGCAGAAAAGCCAGACACAGTGTGGAGAGGGACCCTGCTCTCGCTCCAGGGTCAATGGGAGAAAAGGCTGCTCCTGTGACAGTAAAGCATTCATGTAAGGAAAGGTACCTGCCTACACCTGCTGTAATACTGTGAGCCCTATGGCACAGGCACAGCTCCCTGTGGAAAAGGGAAATAGGGCAAGGGGAACTGCCCCACCCCTAAGGGGCTCATTTTGTCACATTGCTCTGCTGCTGCCTCCTGTGAGCTCTCTCTCTCCTTTGCTGAGACTGCCCACTAAGAGGTGTGTTTACATACCACACGTATGAAGTGCCACTGTTTGTGTGGACCAGGGCATGTTTTCCCAGCTGACAGTACCCAGGTAGAAAGTAGAACTGTCTGGGAGGAGGCAGTAACAGCCAAGGGCAGCTCATGTGGTGCAGAGCTTTGCTGTGGCTAAGTTGAGTTTGGCTGCTTTTCTGGGATCTCTGCTCTCCACGGCCAAGTGGATTCAATTAATCCAAGGGAGGAGTGCTGGCAAAACCTATCTGTTTAGAGTAGGGGGTAGAGGAGAGATCAATGATTTGAAGAGAGAATAATTTAGTCTTAACTGAATGTGACTTATTTGGCAGCTGAGAGTGCTGTTTTGTGGCAGCTTTCTTCCTCAGCTCCAAGACCACCCTGTCTTTCCGCATCACTTCCCACAGTCCTCAGAACTGTCTTTATTATGCTGCCTCCCTCTCCAGACCAGCATTCCCATCATGGCCCTCTTCCCACAGAGCTCAGTTCTCTCCTTCTGGGTCTCCATACTTGGACAGCACTCATCTGGATTTGCTAGTTCTCAGGCCCCTCTCTGAAATTCTCTATTCTGCTATTCAAACCTCCCAGTTGGGCTCACTGTACATCTCTCCCTCACACCCTGTGCCCAGCAGAGAGCTGCTTATCACTTGCCTCCCTCCCTGCTGCACCCCAGAACTGGGCTGTTCTGTATCATCTGGCCCTGACAAGACTCCCAGCAGCAACAGGCAAGGCTGCTGCATTCCTCTCCTCACATCTCATTGTCCTCCACTCTTCCTTCTCAGCTGCAGAGTGAAAGCAAATGTAAAAATCCCAGACAGATCCCCTCTTAACCAAGAAGGTAAAGCTTGTGGTACAAGCTTGCCTGCTTTCTGTTGGCAATTGCTTTGAACACCTAATCCCCAGAAGCAGTGAGGAAAAGCTCTCAGGGCAGCCTGCCTCCTAGCTGGCAGGGCAGTGCTAATGCTGGAGCAGGGTGATGTGAGAAGCAACCCACAGGAATGTTCCTCAGGAACTCCCTCCCTCCTTCCTGCCTTTGGGAAGAGCAGCTAATGCTGTGTAGTCTAGACCCTTTCCAAGGAAAGTCACAACTCACAGGGGTGCACAACAAAACTTCATACAGTGGAGCATGGGTGGAAATGTGCTGGAGGAAGAACATGGTCAATCTAAAGGGAAAAGCCCTGGAGTAAAAGCTGCTGAGTGGTTTTAATAACCTCCTTTCATACAGACATTACCCAGCAAAGCAACTGCCATTGAGCTCTGCAGGGGTGATGTGCACAGACCCTGTTCCTTGAAGGAGTGTTGTACACTACTGAGGCACAGCATCATCCTTGGGGGCCACCAGCATTGACAACAATGGAACAAAGTGACCATGAGAGCCACAACTGAATGGGAAGCCTGCAGCCTGCCCCACTTTGGCTGCGTCTACTTGCCTAAAAGCTGCTCCTTTGTGACCTCACTGGGTTGTGTTCTCTATCACCTATCAGTAGCTGTTTCCTAGACAAAAGCACCACTGTGGGCTTGCTGCCCCTTGCCAAACTGCGTGTGCTGCCTCTGTCGTGTGTGGTCTGACATCTGTGTCTCATTACCCTCTGTGAAGTGGCATCTCCCTTTCACACATGTGCCTTTTCTTCCTGCCAGCTGAGCTTGGCAAGGCGGAGGGAGTCCATGGAGCACACTGGGCAGCGGAGCATGACCTGCTCTGCCTGCTTCTTGCAACTGGATTTATCAGCCTTGATAAATGATGCATTAACCTGCGCCGTTGCAGCCTATACTAACAGGGTGGCCTTTTCCAAGCTTCCCGTTGGGCAGCATGTGTGCAGGAGTTGCATCGGGAGTCCCGCCCGTTCCCTGTGAAGGAGGGAGCAGATTGGGCCTCCCAGCCCACGCAAGAGAAGTAGCTGCTGGGTAGGGCAGCTCCACATCTGCCCAGGTTGGGTGGAGATGGCCTCTGGTCCTCATTGCAGTAAGACATTGGAGAAAAACACCTACCCTGTGTAACTTCACATTCCATTCCTTTTCCTGGGGCATGTGCAGAACAGTTTAGACCTGATTTTGGTTTTGTTTTTTTTTTTTTTTGGTCACAAAGACCATCAGGGTTTATTAGTAAGGGTCAGGTAAAATCGTGCTTTGCCAATTAAATTAAATGTCTGAGGTTTGTGGCAGGGAAGTTCAACCAAGCAGATGCCCAAGTGCCTACCTGAGACGAAGATGTCTTTTATTTCTGCTGGCACGGATAGGAATGCCTCTGCTCTCGCGGCTGTGTTGGATGCAGAAGGGCCGATCCCTCCCTTTCCCGTAGCTTCGCTGCAGCCCATCCTGCCGAGGGAAGAGCAGCCGCTGCTGACAGGAGAAGCCTGTGGCTGCAGCATGACATTTCTGCGAATTTATTCATTTGTGGGAGAGGCTCCTCAGTATCCACCTGAGCTCTCGGGAACGAAATTGGCAATATTTGCTCCCTTCTTGTGTTCAGCAGCTTAAATCCTAGCACGGCATCCTTGCTGCTAAAGCAAGGGAGCCGCTTGGAGAATCACAAGAATTTCTTGTGATCATGACAATTTGGAAAGGCGGCCTCTCCTCCCTTCCCCCAGCAGCCCGCCCATGCCAACACTGCAGTGAAGTCCCTCTCCCTGCCCATGTTATGTAGGGCACGCCGCTGCGGGCATCGTGTGGGACGGAGGGAGATTAAATCCAGGGCACGCGCGAAAGGTGATTTTAGGACCCTAAAGGAGGATACGCAAGGGCGGGCTGGAGCGCTGGCACCGGGACAGGGCGGGGAGGGGGTTCGCAGCCGTCGCGCTGCCGGGACGGCTCTCACGGACGCCCGCTCGGCCGCGGCCCCCTCAGGCACCGCCGGGCGCGCGGAGGCGCAGGGGGTGCGCGGCCTCCCCCCGCCTCCTCCGCCCTCCTGACGGTGACGCAGCGCCCGCGGGAGGAGCGGGAGAGGGCGGGGCTCCGAATGCTAATGAGCTCCGTTGAGGCCCCGCCCCTGCACGTGCCCTGGCGGGCGGGGGGCGCGTGCCCGCGCCGGCCGCGGGGAGGGCAGGGCGGGGAAGGCGGGGCCTATCCGCGCGGGGCCACACCCCCTCGGGGGGCACGGGCCAATCCCGGGGCGCGGAGAGGCCGGGCCGGGGCGGTGCCCCAGAGCTCATGAATACTGAAGCACGCGCCGGGCGTCAGCTGGCCGCGCCTGCGCCGTTCGCTCCGCGCTTCGCCGCTGCTGCCGCCGGGTCCCGGGGAGCCGCCGCAGCCCCGCGCCGCCGGTGACCGCTGACAGCCCGCCCGCCCGCGGGGAGTATGCCCGGCCGCGCCGCGCACCAGGAGGCGGCGGCGGCGGCGGGAGGACCAGAGCCCACTGCGGCCGGAGGGAGCGCGGGGGCCGCCGCGCAGCAGGAGCGGCGGGGCCTGGCGGGCGCGTTCCCGCTGGTGCTGAAGAAGCTGATGGAGAACCCGCCGCGGGAGGCGCGCCTGGGTGAGCGCGGGGGCGCGCGCGGGGGCAGCGGGAGCGCGCGGCGCCCCCCAGTTATCCGCCCCCACCGCCCCCTTCCCGCCCCGTGGCTCGGAGGGCGGGACCCGCCGGGTTACGGCGGGACTGGCCGCGGGGGGAGCACCCGCGGGAGAGGCCGCACGCCCCGGCCCTCTCCCTCCGCCCCGTCCCTCCCTCCCTCCGCCCTCTGGCCGGCCGAGCCAAGAGCCGGCAGCACGGGATCGCTCCCCGCCTCCGGGGATCGCCCTCTCCGGAGCGTGTAGGTGCCTGCGCTGGGCAGAACCGAGCGCTGCGGGAGCGAGGGGTGGGCAGGAGCCGAGACGCGCCACGCTGGTTTTAGTCCCTCGGCTCTCTGCAGCCTCCCCCGCCTGTAGACGCGTAGCCGGGAGCAGCAGTGAGAAGGTTTCCAGGCTTGCTTGACCTTAATTGCTGGGAAGTTGCCCGATACACGAGTAAACAGTGGATCCTCTCAGATTAGGTTCGGTGATAATCCATAAGGGTATGAGTGACTGCCTGCACATGCAATCCTGCATGGGCTGGAGCTGCCTCTCTGCCACTGCTGATGTGGACAGCAGCTGTGTCAATAACAGTGCTAGTGCTTGTAGTCTTCGGTGCTCATGGCACACTTTCTTTTTTCTTGGCTTTTCTTTTCTTTTTTTTTTTTTCCCCTTCTCATCTGGCAGTATTTTTGCCTTTCTGAGTATCAATTTTATTTCGAGGAAAGCTCAGGATTATCTGCACTGCTGTTCTAGCGTATAATAAAAGAAGTCCTTACACCTGTGAATTTTGAGGTTAAAAATAATTTTTTGGTACAGTAGACAACATCCAGGGTAAACCACGGCATAAGCAAGGTTGTCTAGATTGTTGCCAGTGAGGATCCTATCTACCTTGCATGTCTAATATTGCACAATACCCTGTAAATCCATTTTGTGATTCTGGAGACTATCTTTTTCTCCTTTCTGCTAAAAAAAAGTCAGCTTGTGATAAAGGTTTTAGTTATGTTGCTATGGTGCAGGATGCTGCAGCACACAGAATCTTGAATCTGCAAAATAATGGGATTTCTTAAGATATTTCTGCACCCAGTCCTTTTTAAAGACATTAGTGCCAGCAGTAGCAATTTCAGTATGGTTGCTGATAGGGATTTAGTGACTTTGTCTTGGGGCTGATTTTTGTGTTCAGAATCATGTGATGTGGCCTATGGAGATGTAAAAATCTGAAATTAATATGATTGTGAGGTAGTGCATTTTTCTAAAATTAGAAACATTTGATGCTAGATTGATTACTAGATGACCCCATTCCAGCTCGTGAGGGTGCTCAGCTGAAGCTTGCTAGTGAGTCCATTTCATCTTGATTATCCCTCTCCATTCATGGTGTGATAAAGTTCAGGTTGTTCTTGTTCTTAAAATTTCTCCATAGATTTCCTTAGTTCACTTTGTTCTGTTTCACTTCACACTTTGTGGAACTTGTTGCTCTGTGTTTATTTTGGTCTCTGATACTTGTTTGCATATTCAAGACAAAAGAAAGAATGCCTTCATTGTCAGCAGGTAGTTACTCCTGGTTTACAAAAGGTTTGTCAATAGACCTGTGACTCAATTGACTTCAGAGGGTCCTTGATTATTTTCTGTTCTTTTAATTGTGATACACTCAAAATGTTAAAAAATTACTCATTCACTTAATCCAGTGGTGCACTTTCAGCAAACTTTCTGAGAAAAGACCCTGTGCTTTTGTCTGGAATACCTATTGACAAAAACACAGTTTTCTGTCTTACTCTGTAAGGAATTGTATCAGCTAGCTGCAGTGTCTGTCCATTTGTAGTCTCTGCAAGCTACCTGTGGGTTTTCCAACTGCTGTGGGTAATTTGACTACCCACTCAAAGCAAGCAGCTTTCTAATCCTCCTGAGCAGCAGAGGAGGGAGGTCAGCCAGTTCCAGCAGAATGCCATCCCCTTGAATACCCTGCCATAGACTAGGTACAGCTCACCAGTCTTGCTGGGAGTTGGAGGGATTAAATAAATAAAAATAATTCTATTTCTATAAAAAAAGGAAAAGTCCCGTGGGTTAAGGGAAGGCAATTATTATTCTGGAGCAGAAGTGTAGGTCTCTTCCATTAGTAAGGAGCTGCTGCATACTCTCCAAAGGATGCCTTAATCACCAGTTGCATGCTGCTGTGGCAGGAGAAATGCCTCAGCAAACATCACGGTAATGGGCATTAGGGATAGGGAGCCCTGCAACCTGCCTTGTTCCATCCTCACAAGTGGGACTAAAGATTTATGGAGCAATCAGCCCATACATACATACATACAGATATATATATATATATGTGTGTGTAGTGGTTTCAGTATAATTTCACAATATTTTTTTGGTGAACAAGAGGAAGTTTGTCAAATAAGTATTTGTTCTTTTGTGGCTGGGCTAGCTCATGACAGCATGGTGGCCAAAATCTTTTGGTTGGTTTTTGGTTTAGTTGGTTTTTTGGTTTTGAGGAAAAGCCAGGACAGGGAATAAAGCTCTTTTCATGCTGCTACTTATGGTTAAAACAGCAGTATTTCCAACAGTTCAGTAACTGAAATGGTCCACTTAAGTCACTGAGCATAAACTGGTGTCCTCACTGTTGACAGCAAATGTAGAGCCCAGTTAATAGGTCACAGTAGCAGAATGAGGGGGCTAAATCAGACATGAGCCATCATCAGCAGAAGTACAGTCCAGATTTATCAGGGTGACCTTGAATCACTGCAAATGGAGCCTCTTAGGATACTGCAGCCCTGCTGTCAGGTAATACCTGTTTACACTATAAATATCTTAAGAGAAATAATCTTTCAGGTCCCTGTGCTGAGGTAGGCAGAAACTTCTCCCTCAAGATGTAAGAAGTTAATTAGTGTTTCATTAGATGTTGTGCACCCAAGCAGGATGTTGTGTGGCAGAAATAAAGATTAAATTAGTAGAAAGAAACCCGTGGGAAAACATCAATGCAAAAATGATCATACAAAGGTTTTACCATGTTATGTATCATCTTTGAAACAGATGAGCTCCCAATGTGTGTTAATTTCTGCTGTTTTATTTCAGATACTGTTAGAAGTGAGGGAGGAGAGAGAGACAGCATAGCTAAACAAAGACAGCACTGGGGGCCCAGTGCTTGCTGAGTTGTCAGCTTGTAGCAAAAGGACAAAAAATTTCAGATGCTTTTCTCTCGTGGAGGAAGGATCTAATGTGGTGTGAGCCAGGGACAATCACAAGAGGAAATTGGAGGAACCACAGTTTTTCCAGGTTACTGCAGGACAGCAGGGTGATCATGCACGTCCAAAAGGCATTAAAAGATCTGACAAGAGCCACATATCCAAGTAGTGTAGTCTTTTTAGCTTCTGCCTTCTGAAAAATATTTTTATGCCTTATGTCCAGTCTAACAATCAGTTAATATTTTTTTCCTCTCTTGGAAGTGTCCTATTAGATGTTGCAAAACAAAAGCACTATTAAAACTGGCTTAACTTATAATGGTGTACTGTTGTTTTCCAGAGTTAAGAAATTTTTTTCCTTTTAGTTGACATTTTGACTTGAAATTGCACAAGTTTTTAATCATGCTAATTAAAAATAGTTATTTACAAATAATTAATTAGTGTGGATTTGTTTTGGTACTACCTTTACTAGGATATCATCCACAATGTCCAGTGCAAATCTGGGTTTGCTTGTGCTGGGCACTATGAAGTGTTGGGGAGTACACAATCTCTATTCACAGGTGAAATGTTGGTTCCAATTTGGTGGGGTGTGCTCCAGTAGTAAGGGAAGTTCTCCTTATATATGGAGTAGATGCTGTTTCTTCACTGGCTTCAAGTAGGAGCTGTTTAGAAGCATTCTGGTTATTTACACCATTACTGTTAATCTGGATGTTTGCTTTGTCCAAGCAAAGGGTAGGAAAGCTGCAAAACTCCCCATGAAAAGGAGTTTATAGCAGGAACAAGAGCTGGAAGATGGTGATTTGGAGGGAGTAGTGTGAAGTGGCAAGGAGAAGGCCAAAAGCTACAAGGTGATATTACCAAAGCTTAGGTCCAGGAGCCACTGGTCTGAATTCAATGTATCCTTTAGGTACTTGCTCTTGATCCCAAGCTGGTGGCTGGTGAATACTTTCTCAGCTCCTTGGTTTAAAATCAGTATCTTCTTTTGTATAAAATATTCAGAATACGGTAGATAATTTACTTTGTATGGCAGCACTGTTCTTTAAGCCATAAAAAGCTCTTTCAGCCACAGATCCACATCAGCTAAAGCAACAGCGGAAGGAATGCCACTTTTATCAGAATAGGTTTTATATAAATAGGCTTTTCTGAATTAGAGCCGAGTTTCACCCCCACTTCCAC